CGGGGGAATATGACAACAAGAGTACTACTGGAACGTTTATGGCATTAGTAGGACCCAACACTTATTGGCCTATTAATGCGTTTAGCAAGAAGCAAACCGCCACTGCTATGTCTAGTACGGAAGCCGAAGTTGTTGCCGCTAATCACGCTGTTCGTGCTCAAGGCCTACCCTCGCTATCGCTTTTCAATTACTTGATCGCTATGAGCGACCCTAAGTGTCCGCCCCAGGCCAAAACGCGTCGAGCTGGCGTAGCTGCCAAGCCGAAGGCGCCTACGTTGCACGAACCCGTGTCGATCGCTCGAATCGATCGCGAGTTGGATGAGATTAGGTACGGTTTTCTCCATGATGGTCCTGAAAGTGTTGCTAATGTTAACCACCTTCAAGTTCGTTTAGGACCATGCTTTACTATTCGTTTTATGGAGGACAACCAAGCTACCATCACCATCCTTTCTAATGGTAACTCTGTCAACATGCGTCACACTGACCGTACTCAACGTGTTTCATTTAGCTGGTTAAAGGAAACCTTTGATAGTGACCAATTCGATTTGATAAATGTGAATACCCTCCATCAAGCTGCGGATGTTCTTACCAAACCTTTTACTTCCCCCCAGAAATGGAATTCGGCACTGTATATGTTGAACATGGTGCCATATACCTACAAACAACCCAAAAGCAAGGGTAACTCCTTGGCCGTGACGCCCTCAAGGGGCGATCCTGTGCAGTACTTCGACATCTCAACCCCTGATAATTCTGACAATGAGGAATTGGATCAGGGGGGCAATGCACTGCCCAGTCAGCAACCCAAGACAAAACAACGGCTTATGGTCGAATGGTGTTGTTCACCTGACTCCAAGCTCGGACAACAAAGGGCCGCTTCTAAAGGATGTACTGTCTTTAGGGTTACTGAAAATGAGGACGCCACGACAAGGAAATGCGTTGAGCAAATGACACAAAAGACAATTCAGTTTTGGAAGGAAAATGGCAAATGTAACGTGCACGTCCACATTTCACTTCCATGTACGGGAGGATGCCCATGGAACAATGTGAATAAGGACTTGCCAGGTGGGAAAGAAAGGATACAACAGCATCAAAAGAAATTCGCTGCCCTTCTTAAGAACGCTGATAAGTTTCTTGAAGGCATATCCGTTGTTAAACCCACCATTTCATTTGAGCTTCCTTCATTTTGTGAATATTGGAACTGGAAAAGTGTGAAGAACTTTAAACGTAAGTATCGTCTTGTTGACTACAAACTTCATGGGTGTCAAGTTGGGGTGACGGACGAACATGGGACACCAATTAAGAAGGGTTGGACAGTTGCATCCGACATTGAGGCGTTTGCTGCTCTCGAACAGCTTAGGTGCGACGGACAGCATGTACACGCCCAGTCACGTGGTAAGGCACTTAGGGATGCAGAAGGGTACACATTTAAATTAACTGATAAGATACACACCATGTTTAGGAACTTGTATTCACGTGTGTATGCTCAACCCTGTACTGAGGAGCCCACTGTTCATGCCGCATGCGCCACCACCACTCACACCCGCACTTGCACTCGCACTCATACTCACACCCACACCTACTCCACTTATCACCTCCACCATTCTCACATACCTCATACTACTTCCACTCGACGTCACAGTTCACGAACTAAGGTGCTGCTTAGGTCACTTGCTTCTCGCGCGGTCGGTGCTTCGCTCGCCAAGCACCCTTCATCGGGTTGCCAAGCCATGGGCGACCTGACGGAGGACGACCTGCTGCAGATCGAGTGGGACCAGTATAGCAACGAGCCCATCGAGAGGTATTTATCGGTCAACCACTCTCCGGAAACGGAGTCGCGTTGGACAAAGTTTATTGCATACGCAGTTTATCAAGGTATGCTATTGACCGAAGAGGGCTCGAAACAGCACCACGACCAATTGGTGGAACTGCTGCGCGCAGTATATCCAGTCATGTTGTACGATTGTTGGGTGCGTGACTACATATTTACGGAATCAATGATGGGCCTTACAACCATTCATCCGTCTGCGTTTGGTCACCTGAATGTGCTTGCGGAAACGCAACGCCGGAAGGCCGTGGTCATCGTCACCGATTCTATTTTGTGCTTCCTTAACGGGAAGCGAAGTCGTACAGCCTATGAGCCGTTACAAGAGTTCAATGTCGCTTTCGGCGGAGACTGGGACTTCATCGAGGTCAAGATCGTATGGGGTGCTGAGTTACCTCGTTTAATGGCAGAGTACAAGGCTGCTGTTGCTCGCGTAAATGCGAGGGCCTTGCTCAACATGAGGGATCCCGCAAGGGATACCCCGCGCATCTTTGGTTTAATTTGGTGGAACGGCAACGACCTCGTCGGCAGGAACGGAATCACGCCCAATGATTCTACGTGGCGCTATGAGGCTGCAAATCCCGACAGACTCGGTACGCAGGCGCGCATCCTTGGCAACGTTAAACTGTTAGCCGAATGCAAGGAGATCTCCGACGAGCTCTGCTGTATATGTGGAATATCTTCTTATCTTTTTGAGTTGCCTTCGTTTGTCGATATTTTCTGGGCAGAAATCAACGACATCATTGAGAGTCTCGGCATACACCGATTCCAGCCTGACAATCTGGTTTACCAATCCGATAAAGTTGATCAATGGCATATGCGAAAGACGCAGGAGAACATCGATCGCTTCGTGAACTATGTGACCTCGATTGTCAAATTGTCGTACCATGTGAACGTCGTTGAAGCTTCCCGAGAGGGAATTGCCGCGCTCAACAGGGTGAGAAGATTTAAATACAGTTGGGATTCCTCAGCGACAGTCAAAATACCGGAATCGTATTTACAACTTATCAATGAATTTGTTGAACAGCGAAACGCGCGAATGCAACAGACGTTGGGGAAGAGCAGGCAGTTTACTATCGAGGAAGTACAAGCGTACAGCCCCTTTGAGACGAATGACGTGTCAGTCGAAGAGCTCAAGGCCTCCGTTAACCTGGAAGGCGAAGATCCTCAAGATGTGTTGCAGTTTGTCAATGTTGTACCTGTTATTGAGCTACCGGAGGAACAGCCCGCATTGGACGACCCGATGGATGACGTTGCGACAGCCGACGTAAAAGTCGAGCCGAAGGTTGAGGAAACCGACGCGGACGTTGAGATGCCCGATAGCTATACAGGCGCAACCGACGAAGTACCTGGGCCTGATACTGGTATCGCAGGCGTAAATGCCTTGCCGACAGCACCAGAACCTGATCCACAGATGGCGAAGATCGAGGCCGAGGTTCTTGATGTTTTGGCTGATGATGAAACGACTGTTGAAGAAGGTGCAACCGGAGATGTTCCTATGATCCCTACGGACGCGGACCAACCCGCAGAGGGTCAAGCGTCTTCATCTGACTCGAGACCACCATTGCCGCGATTGCGAGGCAAAGGGCAGGGACAAGGCACCCCTTCGGTCGCTCCCGTAACGGGGAGCTTTCTTGCACCTGAGAACAACGACAACCCCGACTTGAAATTTTCTGGAAAAGGGAAGGGCGTTCTCGTTCGCGAGACGAAGCCTAACCCCGAGTACAAAAATATGCAGGTCGAGGTTGAAGAGGTTCTCGGAAGGTATCCTTACCCGGATCACCTACTCAAGGCCATCGGGAATGGCAACATCCAACTCCTCGAGGATGAGCTGGGCCGCGACGCCAAGCAGTACGTGCTGTACCACGTTACTGGCCATAGGTATTATTATGTATATGAGGATTATCATCATGGGCCTTGGGAGTGGTGCTGCTCCTGGCCATATCATGTTCGTCGCGGTATTTCTGGTCTTCTTCGTGGACACGTCCCAGACGTCAGTATTTATGATCCGGCGTGTTATTTGCCAATTTACAAGCTACTAGATTTGGCGAAGGCCAAATTCCCTGATTATGCTGATTCTATGAATGTTTTTGAGTTGATTTCGATGGCTATTTATGACAACAAAGATCGTTTCGAATTTCAATGCGTGTACGACTCTCGTGTGAACGAGCAGCTCGAACTTTTCGCCGCTCCCGTCAAGATCCGATGTGGACAAGGCCACACCGACGACGTTCTCGAGACGCGATCAAATGAAGTGCTAGCAGTACTAATCTACTGCCGTCCTGACCATGTACACAGGTACAATGCTCGTTTGACAGCGCACGGGAACCGCGATATACCACCTCGGCTTTACCACCGAACGCATGAAGGTGCTGCGCGATCCATTATTGCGAGCGGGCTCATTCCCGGCGGTGGAGCCGGTGGACCGAAAAGCAAAGGCAATTCCTTCTTTTCAACACAACCTCTGGGAGACCAGAAGGCGATATCTGGTGTTCGTGCTGACCGACCAGTGGAGATTTGTTTTTCAACACCGGATGTGATTGAAGCAGGAGTTGATCTTTTCCTCACAAATTCTGGCGCGGTGATTACCAGTCATCACGTTCCGAATACGTGTATTCTATTTGCAACTCGAGCCCGCGCAAATGCGGAGCCGGAAGTTTTCTATTCGAGGCCGCAGGCATTGGATCCTTCGAACATTGAGGTCGGTGTTCCGCAAGATGATGTGACATTGGTCCCCGGAAAAGTGTCGGAAGTACGCACCATTTTGGAAGGTACAAGCGACGCCACTCCCGAAGAACGCACAGCTAGCAGCAGTGCCGCAAAGAAGGAAGAGATGGAGGCAAATCGCAATACAGCTGTACCACAGATCGAGAGTGGATATTTTCTACATCTTCGAACTTTCAGCTGCGATAAATGTACGACACTTTCCTTAGCAGGAATGGCATCTTGTCATCGATGCGGAGTAGTATTTCAGAGCAATAC